GGCGCTCTTGTGGACTTGGATCGTGTCGTTGATGTGTTCATTTCTCAGAACATGGTTCAACAAGCGACTGCTTTCCTGCTCGATGCACTGAAAGATAACAAGCCTGAGCATGCACATCTTCAGACGAGATTGCTTGAGATGAACCTTGTCAATGCCCCGCAGGTCGCGGATGCCATACTTGGCAATGAGATGTTTACACACTACGATAAAGCAAGAATATCGCAGCTTTGTGAAAATGCACAGCTCTACCAACGTGCTCTGGAGAATACCGACGATCCTGCTGTCATCATGCGAAATATTGTCCGCACGGACAAGCTGAATCCAGAATGGTTAATCAACTATTTTGGACGCCTATCGGTCGAGCAGTGTTTGGAGTGTATGAATGAGATGCTGAAATCCAACCTCCGCCAAAACCTGTCGGCTGTTGTTCAAATTGCCACCAAATTTTCAGATCTCCTTGGTCCGACCAACTTGATCAACCTCTTCGAGAAGTATCGAACTGCTGAAGGCCTTTACTATTACCTTGGCAGCATTGTAAATCTAAGCGAAGATCCGGATGTCCATTTCAAGTATATCGAAGCTGCAACGGCAATGAACCAACTGACCGAGGTAGAGCGCATTTGCCGGGAAAGCAATTACTACAACCCAGAGAAAGTTAAGAATTTCTTGAAGGAAGCTCGCCTAACCGAGCAACTACCTTTGATCATTGTTTGCGACCGTTTCAACTTTATTCATGACCTTGTATTATATCTTTATCAAAGTCAGCAGTATCGGTCCATTGAGGTCTACGTCCAACGCGTTAACCCATCCAGAACTCCAGCTGTCGTCGGCGGTTTGTTGGATGTTGACTGTGAGGAGAGCATCATCAAGAACCTTCTGTCTACGGTTGACGCTGCATCAATTCCCATTGATGACCTTGTTTCTGAGGTCGAGTCTCGAAATCGCCTTAAGATCCTTCTTCCATTCCTGGAGAATACACTCGCCACTGGGAACCAGCAACAAGCCGTTTACAACGCTCTCGCCAAGATTTATATCGATAGTAATAACAACCCAGAAAAATTCTTGAAGGAGAACGATCTCTACGATCCTCTTATCGTTGGAAAGTATTGCGAGAAGCGTGATCCCAACCTTGCCTATATTGCCTATCGCAAGGGACAGAACGATCTTGAGCTCATCAATATCACCAATGAGAACTCCATGTACCGCGCTCAAGCTCGTTATCTTTTGGAGCGTGCGGATCCCGAAATATGGGCTTTTGTTCTTAACGCGAATAACATCCACCGCCGGGCATTGGTAGATCAAGTCGTCGCCACTGCCGTGCCTGAGTCTGCGGAGCCGGATAAGGTGTCTATTGCTGTCAAGGCCTTCCTCGATGCCGACTTGCCAGGCGAACTCATCGAACTTTTGGAAAAGATCATTTTGGAACCATCCCCTTTCAGTGATAATAGCAGCCTGCAAAATCTAATGATGCTTACCGCCGCCAAAGCCGATAAAGGCCGCCTCATGGATTACATCCATAAACTTTCTGAGTTCAATGCCGATGAAATTGCGACGATGTGTGTTTCTGTGGGTTTGTACGAGGAGGCTTTTGAAATTTACAAGAAGGTTGACAACCATCTGGCTGCCACCAACGTCCTTGTCGATTCCATTGTTAGCATCGACCGTGCACAGGAATATGCAGAGGGTGTTGAACTTCCCGAAGTTTGGAGCAAGGTAGCGAAGGCTCAGCTGGATGGGCTCCGCATTTCTGATTCTATTGCGTCATATATCCGAGCTGGTGACCCGTCCAATTATAATGAAGTAATCGAAACTGCCACGCATGCTGGGAAGGACGTTGACCTTGTCGAGTTCCTTAAAATGGCTCGGAAAACGCTACGGGAATCTGCTGTTGATACCGCATTGGCCTTCTGCTATGCCAGGTTGGATCAATTAAGCGAGCTAGAGGACTTCTTGCGAGGTATAAACGTCGCAGATGTGGAGGCGTCTGGTGACAAGGCTTATGAGGAAGGCTTCCATGAGGCTGCCAAGATATTCTATACCAGCATCTCCAACTGGGCAAAACTTGCCACTACTCTCGTCCACCTCGAAGAATATCAGGCCGCCGTTGAGTGCGCTCGGAAAGCCAACAACATCAAAGTATGGAAGCAAGTCAACGAGGCGTGTGTTTCTAAGAAAGAATTCCGTCTTGCTCAAATTTGCGGTCTCAATCTCATTGTACACGCTGAAGAATTGCAGGATTTAGTTCATCAATATGAGCGAAATGGCTATTTCGATGAGCTTATTGCTGTTTTGGAGGCTGGGCTCGGCCTGGAGAGAGCTCACATGGGTATGTTCACGGAATTGGGTATCTCTTTGTCCAAATATCACCCAGACAAAGTTATGGAGCACCTGAAACTATTTTGGACACGAATCAACATCCCTAAAATGATCCGGGCCTGTGAAGAGGCAAACCTGTGGCCAGAGCTGGTGTTCTTGTACTGTCACTATGATGAATGGGATAATGCTGCACTAGCAATGATGGAAAGGGCAGCGGACTCCTGGGAGCACCACTCTTTCAAAGATATCATCGTCAAGGTTGCAAATCTCGAAATTTACTACCGCGCGTTGAATTTCTACCTTCAGGAACAACCACTGCTACTGACAGACCTTCTGCAAGTCCTTACTCCACGTATTGATGTCAACCGTGTCGTTCGCATGTTTGAGAAATCCGATAATATTCCTCTTATCAAACCATTCTTGCTTAACGTGCAACCACAGAACAAGAAGGCCGTCAATAATGCTATTAATGACTTGTTGATTGAAGAGGAAGATCACAAGACCTTGCGAGATTCGGTGGAGAATTATGACAACTACGATCCTGTGGAGCTAGCCCAGAGACTTGAGAAGCATGACCTGGTCTTCTTCAGACAAATCGCGGCCAGCATCTACCGCAAAAACAAGAGATGGGAGAAATCAATTTCTCTTTCAAAACAAGACAAGCTCTTCAAGGATGCTATCGAGACTGCGGCTATCTCAGGAAAGACTGAAGTTGTGGAAGAACTGCTAAGATACGTACGTATTTTCCATCGGGAACCTTTTTTTTCTAGATGTATTTATATGGCAACCATTAATTGCTAACATTTGACTTTCAGTTCGTGGATATCGGTAGCCGAGAATGTTACGTTGGCATGCTATACGCCTGCTATGACCTCATCCGACCAGATGTGGTCATGGAAATCTCATGGCGCCACAGACTGACCGACTTTTCCATGCCCTACATGATCAATCTTCTTAGCCAACAAGTCCGCACTGTTGAGCTTCTCAAGAAGGACAACGAAGAACGCAAGGCCCGCGAAGCGTCCCAGAAAAAGGAAGAAGACAACACCCCAGTTCTAGGTGGATCACGACTTATGCTCACCCAAGGCCCGGCGGCGGCTCCGCCATCTGCAAGTCCCATTCCGTTTGGCCATACGAACGGTATCACGCCCCAGCCCACTGGATTCCGACCCTTTTGATTGTCAGGAATAAACCCAGCTCTGTAACTAGCTAACTCAATGAACGTTTGTAAAAGAAAAATACACCTAGAAAGAAAAAAGGAGAAAAAATAATAGAGCAGTGGCGGGATACTGCTTCGTTTCTTGACCTTTTACAGGAAAATTCCAAAAAAAAATATCGTGATTCCCAGGTACGGATGGATGGATGAATGATAGGGATTATGATGGCGGTTGCGGGGCTATTTTATTCCTTTCAACTAGGCCTTAAATTATTTCTGCTTTTTAGTTTCATTTTTCATATATCTTTAGTTTTAATTTCTCACTTTTCCCTCTCATTCTGCGTCTTTTGTTCCATTAATCCCCTCTTGTATTACTTTCCACTTTATTTTGCAAATTCTCAAACTCCCCCCACCCCCCCTTCTTTTTACCCCTATCATTTCTCTTTTTTGTTAAGAAAAAAACTCAATGTATTTGAACTACTCTTTCTTCTACTAATGATGCACTTCACATTTTCTGCATTTGAACTCTAGATTTTCCAGTATTCTCTTGCTCAGTGGTGGTTAAGTCAAGCTGTAATGAATCAAGAGCAGTAACAGAAAACTGTCCGTGGAACCGCCTCTCCCAATAATTCCAACCAAACACATTTTTATATAGCCGTTGAGTAATGTTTTAGAAATCATTGATTTTATATTTATTGTGATTTTTCGGACATGGAGCTAGAGCAGAGAAGATTGTTTAAAATCCATGGCGAGTACGTATGTCAGAAGATAAGACTCATTTACCTCTATTTTTTTTATCAGCTTTCTCACACATTTTCTTCAAAGCAATGAATCTTTATATTCTTTTTACATCATTTCCTTATAGTGTTGTCATATTACCAGTTATATTTCTTCATCACCATCATCTACTATGGCCTGAGGCAGAGAATTAAGCCCTCAAATGTGATATCTTCACAGCATGTAATGTAACTTCTTGCGTAGAACTGTAGCCTTTTAGGATATCTTGGTAAGTTAGCACTGCTTCATTCTTGGTAGAGTCAACAACTTGCATATAAATACTACTTACTTTACCATGTAATTATTAGGATATAGATAGCCAAGTCAATTCATTCATTATCTATCAATATTCAGTAATTGGGTCAATGTTCAGACAATTAATCACCACCCTGACAGTTATGAGCCCGGGTTAGCTACCAATCGCTATCTTGATATCTATAATATGTCAATTTCACTGACCTCCTTATCGGCGAAAAATAGCGGCATATTGTATCTTAGCATACGTTCCTTTCTCCCATACCAGCCTGATTGCTTGGAAGCCATGTTATCATCTAGGTGGCATCTATCTCGATGGTAAAACGTTCAGATTGCGAAGGATTAAGCGATGACTCGATCTTTGCCCGTATAAGAGGTATAGGGCGGATTGCTAGTTACTGAATATCGCAGAACTAGCAATTCAACAGAACCTGCGAAGATATCTCAATCAGAATCTATTAGGACATCAAAATCATCGAATCCTCCTTCGTACGCCCCAAAGAACGCTATCGCTTCCTCAAAGATTTGGTATCAAACGCCTAGGTCATCCATCGATGAGAGCAGTTGAATATCTTCCAATTGATGCCGAGGGCGTTCAGATATCAGATATCAAAGATATTGCAAAAACTGATGAAGAAGGCAAAGAATCAAATGTCACGCCGTCCCCACGTACGATCCAAACTACCTCTCGATTCGAACGTCTCCGTCCATATATCTTATAAGTACTTTCCTACTGCTATAATGGTGAATGATGGCTCGTACATTTTGCATGTGATTATCTTCGCTTTCATATCGCAGTTGCAGCCCTAAGAAAATCCGATATAAGAAAAGCTTTGGATAAGGTTTTGAGATGGATCAAACGCCAGTTCAACTGTGAGACAAAGATCACACGGATTGATAATGAGAAGGCAAATCAAGGAATCCGATATCTTGGAGGACTGGGTCATCGATATTAGGCCTAGAGATCGAATACAGGATATAACATGCCGCTATCGCTAGCCGATAAGGAGGTTGATGAGGATCGGATAGATAAAAGATGGATAGATAGGTTTGTTTATTATGGATATCAAGATAGCGATTGGTAGCTAACCCGGGCTCATAACTGTAAGAGTGGTGATTAATTGTCTGAATATTGACCCAAGCACTGAATATTGATAGATAATGAATGAATTGACTTGACTATCTATATCCTGATATCTGTTTGTGTGTGTATATTTTTGAAAGAAACTTGTTCATAGACCTTTTGACTCCTTAGTAAATTCACCTGTATTTCGGGGCCAGCAAAGAAAAGAAAGAAAAGCAAAAGAAATGAGATTTAAAAAATATTTGATTTTGCTCTGCTCTGTATCTATTCAAATAGAGTATCGAAGTCAACCCATAACAGTCAATAAAAACCCATAAAACTTCATAATAAACGCCCCCCTCCTTAAAAAAAAAAAGAAAAAAAGAAAAAAAGAAAACAAAAAGCACCCCGGAATCAAAGTCCACATTCATATTTCCCATTTCCCCAGCGCCTGCCCAAAAACACAAATACCGCAGCAACCCCCTTGCTCAATACCGATACCTCGTCGAATAATCCTTCGGACTAACCACCAAGCCCCTCCCCTTCTTCGCCCCCTTATAAATCGTCTCGATAATATCGATAAGCTCCTGCTTATCATCCAGCACCCAGTTCAGCTTGTTGTTATTGCCCGTGCCGAAGTCGCACATCATGTGCTTGTTGCGGAAGAAGAACATGATCGTCATGGGGTCGTAGAGCTCGTACATCTGGTTGAAGTCCGGCACCTGGTCGATGTCGCAGACGTAGATGACGGCGAAGTTCTTGACGCGGTCGGCGATGCGGAAGAGCACTTCGTCCTGCCGCATGCAGTCTGGATCCCAGTCGCGGCCGAAGCGGATCACGACGAGGCGCTCCTCGTCGGAGAGGATTGCTTGGTCGACATGCCAGCCTGTGGTGAGGTGAGGGAGGACGACGGAGCCCATGGTTTGTTTATTTTTGGGTGGTGCAACTGAGCGGGTGGTGGAGGAGGGGATGATTGGAGAGAGCGAGGGGCTCTCCCTTTATTTTTGTTTTCTTATCTTTCTTTTCTTTTTTTGTGGGTTTCGTTTCCAGGATGCTACATGCCAGAATCGCAAGAGTCAATACTTCTGCTATTTTTCCAGGTAAAGCTACGTAGCGCCCGCATCACGTGGCAAACAAGGACTCTATCCATATAATTGAAGTATATTGAAACTTAACAAAGTTTAGAGACAGAGAGATATGGACGATACGAGAAAAGAGAAAATAATAGCTTCCAAAAAAGTAAAAGCAAATAAATAAAAATAAAAACAAAAGTAAAAGTAAAGAGGGAGAAGGAGAAGATGAAGGAAGGAAAAGGAAAATCCAACTATGTATATACCTATCTCCCCTATTGTAAAATAAAGATATGCAAAGCTTCTCTATAATAATAACATGTTAAACAAGGTGTGTTGCTTTTTTCCGGGTTACAGGGCTTTTCCTATTTTATTTTTATCATTCGTCTCTTTCCCTTTCTTCCTCTCTTGACCTGTCCGTTCTTTTTCCGTTTGTTTTCCGCTTTTTTGGTCCTCCCCTCCTGTAAAATTAGGCCGCCTTCACAATTTTGCAGATGAGGTCCTGCCCATCCACTGAGTCTCCCTCCTTAACTTCAAGGTTAGATACGACGCCGTGATGCGGGGCGGAGATCACCATTTCCTGTAGGCGGATGGGAAGGGAGAAGGAATCAGTTAGTTGATGAAAAAAATTAATGGGGAGGGTTGAAGGGGGAAGGAAGCTAGTCGGTGGAAAAAACTGGAGGAAATGAAAAAGGGAAAAAAAGATGTATGGGAGAGCTTGGGGGAGGGGTATGGGGGGGAAGACAATACCATCTTCATCGCGCTAAGAACAGCAAGCGGATCTCCCTTCTTCACCTCCAACCCATCATGCACGCGGATCTCAACGACAACACCACTCATCGGCGCGCCAACCTGGCTACTATCGCTCAGATCCGCCTTGGGCCTGCTCGCGTCGTCGACCGCAGCAAGGTTGTCATCCACAGAAACCTGCCGGACCTCGCCGTTCATTTCATAAAACACCTCGCGCTGCCCGGTCTGCTCGGATAGCGGCCCCACGGCCAGGAGCTTGAGAATAAGCACCTTGCCCTGCTCCAGTTCGACGGAGAATTCCTCGCCGATCTGCGGTCGAGCGAGGAAGTACTTTGTCGGTAGCACGGAGAGGTCGCCGTACTTCGCGACGAATTTGCGATAGTCTTCAAACACCTTGGGGTACATGGCGTAGCTGGCGACATCGCATTCGGTGGCGGTACCGAACTTCTCGCGCAGGTCGTTCTTGATCTTGGCGAGGTCGAGCGGTTCCAGGTGCAGGCCTGGCCGGTCGTTGAGCTTGCGGCGCTCACGGAGGGCGCGGGATCGGAGTGGTTCAGGAAAGCCGCCGTACGGCTGGCCCATGAGACCTTCGAAGAACTCTAGAACGGAGCCCGGGAAGTCAAGTTCGCCGGCGCGGGCGATAACGTCATCCGGAGTCAGCTTGTTGGAGACCATGAACTGGGCCAGGTCACCAACAACCTTCGACGTCGGGGTGACTTTGACGATGTCGCCGAGCAGGTCATTGGCTTGCTCATATGCCTTCTTGGTTTCAGCCCATTGGGCACCCAGGCCGAGCTGGTGGGCTTGGAAGATCAAATTGGTCAACTGCCCGCCGGGGATCTCGTGTTCATACACTTCTGGGTCTGGACCTGTCAGGCCAGCCTCGAATGGTGAGTAGAGAAGACGTAATTGTGCCCAGTATGAATCGATTGCGCGGATATTGCGAATGTTGAGCTTGGGGTCGAGGTCTGTGCCTTCGAGGGATGCAATAATGGCACCCACGCTGGGTTGAGACGTCATTCCGGACATGCTGTCGGTAGCGGCATCGACGGCATCAGCACCAGCCTGGGCGCAGGCTACCATAGATGCAACACCGGTACCAGCGGAGTCATGGGTATGCACATGGATAGGAAGGTCTGGGTATCGCTGGCGGATGGCTCCAACAAGAAGGGTAGCAGCTTGGGGCTTCAGCACACCCGCCATATCCTTAATACCAAGGACATGGGTCCCGATCTTGACAATTTTGTCAACTAGGGCGAGGTAGTAGTCTAAATTGTATTTCTTGCTTTGGTTCAGCATGTCGCCACTGTAGCAAATAGTAGCTTCAATAACGCCGCCAGCGGCGGCAACGGCCTTCATCCCAACCTCGAGCTGGTCGATATCATTCAAAGCATCGAAAACACGGAATATATCAACGCCATATCTTTTGGCTTGTTTACAGAAGTGATAGATGGCATTATCGGGGAGCCTAAGACACAGACGGAGTGTCACAAATTAGTTTGAGGTTAGGCAAAATGCACAAACACCATGGCTGATTGAACTTGGTTAAAAATATACTCGACTTACGAAGAATATGCAACCCCGTTCGCACCACGAAGCAACATCTGGAATGGAATATTGGGCACCGCCTTTCTCATTTTCCGTAACCGATCCCACGGATCCTCATACAAGAATCTCATAGCCACGTCGAAGGTCGCACCTCCCCAGCACTCCAAACTGTAGGCATTGCTGTAAGCATAGCTGGTCTCCTTGGCAATGTTCAGCAAATCAACCGTTCTCACACGGGTAGCCAACAACGACTGATGGGCATCTCGCCATGTGGTGTCCATGATCAAACAGCCCTTGTTGGCACGAACAGCCTTGGCGAAAGCAGCTGGACCTTGTTCATCAATGATCTTCTTCCATCCCTGCGAGCAAGGAACAGTTACATCAACGGGCTCGTTACTCTCATCAACGATGGTGGGCATATTGATATCACCCTTGAACTTAGGCTCGCCAATCTGGCCCTTGATGCTGCTACCATTGACGGCAATGTCGCCAAGATAGGCGAGCAATTTCTGGGCACGGTTTTGGCTACCAATCATAGAGAATAGTTCGGGCGAATCGTCAATGAAGGTGGTCCAGCAGGTACCCTCGATGAAGGTTGGATGCGTCAGAACCGATGCCAAGAATGGGATATTGGTCTTGACGCCCCGGATGCGGAACTCGATAAGGGCACGAAGCATCTTGCGTCGTACAATCTCATAGGTGAAACCACGGCAAGTGCACTTGACCAACATAGAATCGTAATGCGGGGTGATAATGGCTCCAGCAAAGCCGTTGCCTCCATCCAGACGCACACCGTTCCCGCCAGCAGAACGGTAAACTTCAATCTTGCCGGTGTCAGGGGAGAAGCCTTTGGTGGGGTCCTCTGTTGTTATACGGCACTGGATGGCGAAGCCGCGAGTTGAGATGCGGTCCTGCGTTAAGCCTAGCTGTTCCAGGGAAGCACCCGCAGCGATCTGGATCTGGGCGGCGACAATATCAATTCCGGTGATTTCCTCAGTAATGGTATGCTCGACCTGGATGCGGGGGTTGATTTCAATAAAATAATAGCGGTTCTGTTGGTCGACAAGGAATTCCGCGGTGCCAGCATTGCGGTAGTTAACTGACTTGGCAAGCTTCACGGCGTCGGCCAAGATGCTGTCGCGGACATCGACGGGCAAATCCTTGGCGGGCGCAACTTCGACGACTTTTTGGTGACGACGTTGGACACTGCAGTCGCGCTCGTACAGGTGGACGATATCGCCATGGTTGTCGCCAAGCAGCTGCACTTCAATGTGCTTTGGTTTGTCCAGGAATCGTTCTACGAAAACGGTGCCGTTGCCAAACGCGGAGTTGGCCTCCGAGGTCGCACGTTCAAAGGCATCCTGCAGGGTCTCCTGTTCCCTGACCACTCGCATACCGCGACCACCACCACCAAAGGCAGCTTTGATGATGATGGGGAAGCCATACTGATCCGTGAATGCCTTGACCTCTTCGAATCTCTCGACGGGGCCGGGGGTACCGGGGACGACGGGGACACCGCATTTAATGGCTAGGCGTCGGGCTGAAACCTTGTCTCCCAGCGCATCGATGGTGTCCGGAGTCGGTCCCACGAAGACCAACCCAGCCTTCTCAACATTCCGGGCAAACTCGGCGTTCTCGGACAAGAAGCCGTATCCGGGATGAATGAGATGAACGCCGTGCTGGACGGCGATCTTGATAATCTCATCGCCCGCAAGGTAGGCACCCACAGGGGTATATTGACCCCTCTTGCCGATGATATAGGCCTCATCTGCCTTCTGGCGATGCATGCTCAGTCTGTCCTCGTAGCTGTAGACCGCGACGGTTTGAAGCGAAAGTTCGTGGGCCGTACGGAAAATTCGAATAGGGATTTCCCCACGGTTGGCGACGAGGATCTTGTTGAATTGCATGATGGTGGAATTAGCACGCAGTCTGCCATGGACGGAGTGATGGGCGGGGTGGTGGCTATGGTCTTCCGCCAGATCGTCCACGGCAGACTCATGCTGTCCTGGAGGGAAGCCTGAGAAGAAACTCGTCATTGTGAAGGGGGGTTTCGCGGTGATTGGGGTTGTCGGATAGAAGGGAACAGGTGGGCGCGGATGGGAGAAAGGGCAGGCAGACGCGCTGTCCGAGTCCCCAGAAGAATTTCTACTACACACACTGTTCTACACAATTTTAGGGAGAAAAAGAAGAAGAAGAAGAAGAAGAAGAAGAAGAAGAAGAAGAAGAAGATGATGATGATGATGAAAAGGAAGGAGCTGGAAGAATCAAGAGAGGAAATTAGCTGAGAAACTGGAAGAACCAATTGAAGAGTTGAGAAGCGTGGTTTTTTTGGTGGAGATGAAAAGAGCTGGGAGTTGGGAATAGTGGGGGAGGAGTGGAGGGGCGAAGGTTGCGCCCGCAGCACCACAGCATACCTCGAGACCCGGAACGCAGAACACAACCAATTGGACGGGGCTCGGAACAGATGAAGCTGCAGCAATTGAGCAATTGAGCAATTGAGCAGCGAGGCAGCGGTTGGCGGCGGCGGTGGGATATCGAGGAGGAAGAGAAGTTGAGTTGGGAACAAGTCATGGCGGGGATGCGGCCGGCTTAGTCAGACGCTGGTGATCAGCTGGTGACGCCATCGCCGCTTTACGGAACGCTGGCCTCGGGTATGGTATTACATTGGTAATTTACAAGGTCAGCCCCCATTACACACTGTATGGTTGAAATTTCCAATGCAGCACCTCGAGGGATCGGTGAATGAAGGCATGGTTGGATGTTCCTTTTCGAAGGAGATGTATCATTCATCAGGTAGCATTTAACTACGTCCGGTTCTCCTTCCAACTATTTTCGCTATCAGAAACCCCAACTCGACCAGCAAGAACCTCAACGTGAGGTATGTCAAGCTCGCCATCTCAGACAGCTATCCTCAACAAATGATGAATGACTTCCCCTATGTGCCAGGGATGACTTGCATTCTCTGAGCCCTGCTTTGTAGCGGATTTCTTACCAGGCAAGGAACCACCACTCCACACACATCACCAGAATTTCAAGTCAAAATCATGATGGTGTGCGCCAGAAACTTGGGTTCAATCCCCCGAATCGCAAGCATGACACGCGGCTATTGACGACCCACGCGCAATCTTCCGCTTGAAGGTCCAAAGCGAGATATTTCGGTTCCAAGATAGGATATTGGTATGCTGTGTACAGTGGTGGTGGGTGGCGACTTGCTGCTAAAAACTGCAACAACTTGATATGTTGAGACCGCTGGCCTTTTTTCTTTTTCTTTTCATTTGGTCTTGGTTCTTATGGTTGGAGACGAAAAGACCGAAAAAGAAATGAAAATAAAAGAACCGAAAGATGATTGAAAACAATATTACAGAGTATTTACTAGTATTAACATTCTTCTGATACTAGGTAGCTAACTCCAGCCCGGCAAATTGATATCTTCCCCCACAGCTCATACCGTGCTATTTTCCCGCACCATGACTTCAACCCGATATCCCCCACATTTCGGTGGCACCTGCACCTGCTAGCCATCCCCTTGCCGGGGTACAGAGTTCCTGTGCTATGGCTGGTGTTCCTGGATAATAAGCAACCTACTCCTGCAGTGGCAATGATCCCGGCACAGACATACATACCAGTACACACACAACTTTCTACAGCGTATTTGTTGGGGAGGGAGGTGCTGCATCCATGTGCGTGTTACAGGAACTTTCCCAGGGGCAGCGGCGTGGCCAGAAAGGTTATCCTCGGCCTCCATACTACCACATAGTGCGGACTGTCTCATGCCGTGCTGCTGGAAGCGAGAGACTCTGTGATGAAGCCGTCATCGTACTCCTAAGTAGTAACTAGTATGCCTAACTCTGCCTCAAGAAAGCCGCGTCCACCGATTCTTGGAGAATGGCGTGCTCTCTCGCCGTTATAATAGTAAACTGATCCCTCTCTGTCCTTCATTACACTTCTGGACCCATGGTGGGAAGAATTTACCACACTACGCGGTCTACAAGAAGAAATCCCCCCCCCCCCCCAGACCTGGCACGATTAAATACTCGCCTGGCCACAATCAACCTCGGGGTCTTGGATTTGGGAGAGATCTATTCTGTCAACTGCTGTTATCAGGAGCAGGAATAACTACTGTAAAAACAAAACAATCAACCCGTTATAATGGATCAGGATTCCAGACGAGCAGAAGCCAGGAAGCATACAAAATTATTGCAACGCACGAGGTGTCAGGTAATTTTCGCTTTTCTCATCCTCTATAGAGATGAATATGCACAGCCGCGACCTCTCTCTCGCGAGAGAGACCTTTCTGTATGCCATTTTCACTAAGTGAATAGAGCTTACTGGTTTTGATGGAAATATAGGAATCAGTAGGGATGATAAGCAGCTTGAGGAAAGAAGTTTCAGACTTCCTGTTAGACTTTTCCCCCCTGCCTTGCCCTACTCTCTCTCTCTTTCTTTTCTTTTCTTTTCTTTTCTTTTCTTTTCTTTCTTTTTGTCTTTCTCTTTCTCTTTTTTCTCGTTTATTGCTTCGATCTATATATCTGTGCTAGATATTCGTCATGGTGAAATATTGAAACAATCGGACCCCCCGGTCCTCACCTGAGCTATTGCCAGATGTCCAAAGAGGAGAGTTTGGTGGGCCACAAGTTTCACCCGGAAATTCCGGGCCGTATATCAGTCTTCTTCGCTCCGAATACCTTGTTCTCGATGTGTACTGCTGTGAAAGAAGCAAGAGGGTGTATCCCACAGGACAGCAGTGCTCGGGATGAGGAAGAAAATCTCCACCCTAGGACAGCAGCCCCTTGATCGCTTGGAAGTGGCTCATATACTCTCCCAATTGCTGAGAACGAGAGACAATAAAGCTTCACATTACTCCCAGCCTGAGTGCCAAAGAAGCCATCCATCTATCCATCCGCGTCAGTCTCGATTTGTATGACAATGGTGTGTCGCGGGTCTCATCGACGGCGCCGAGCGATTGACTGTTGACCAGCCATCTGATGCAATCAGTGTTCCAGCTATGCGCCATGGTCTGTTTCGGGGATTTTTTTGGACATTTTTCTTGGAGCCGGCTCTTAGACCAGTTGTTCCCGCACACATTATCGAGTTCAGTTGACATCTTTCCTCCTTTGCATCTCATGCAGGGCCATCCAGTCAACTTGAACCCTATGTTACTCCTGATCAAACTATTGGTTCTTTTTCACCCAGGATTCTTGCCATTCACCATGCTGTTTGGCCGCAGCCTTTGCTGATCTGCGCCAGGCGAGTGTATTGATAACGTTCGCTCTGACTTGGAAAAGGCCACAGCACAGGACGGGCCTATGAAGATGGGTTGCTTTCGATAAATTTTCAGCTTTTGAATTGTTGGTTTGATAGCATTGCTGGTGCTCTTGTCGCAGTTGCTCAATCTGCAATTGTTGTGAAGTGGCATACAATCCATGGCAAAAAAACCACCTGGCGTGTTTTCTTTACAGACCTGCCTCTGAGACTGTCGTCTTAAACTTTCGCCCTGCTGCCATTGCTCTTGTCAAAGAGCATACATGTTGCATATATTTTGAGCCATATCTAGCTGGACACAGGCCACAAGTTGTATCAGCTGTTGGGAGTTCAAATTATAACCAAGTCAAAACCTAAAACTGTGGGAAAGGGGCATTGCGACCTCAGGTATGCGTCGCAGTACTGACGCAGCCAAATCGACATGTGGAGTCGAACAGCCAGGATGATGGGTTAAGAAATGGTGTGAAAATTGGATTAACCGCGCCCTCTGCTCCGCTACTCATCACACTGACTCCGTGTATTACTTGCTAATAGGCCCCACCGTCTCAGCAGTAATAACCCGCTCAATGATAATGTATCCAGTCCCCTACATAAAATATTTTATTTCAACAATGCAGTCAATATAGGATATATTATTTAGTTCTTCTTCTAGTATTTTTACTGTGACTCTGATGTAAATATCTTGATCTTAGCAATGTCTTTTTAATTCTCTTATGATCTTTTGATTCTCTTATGATCTCATTCCATTATAATCCCATTCATTCTCTTTAATGATTTATATTGTTCTTAATCTTTATCATTCTCTATATCTCACTGCTCTTGATCACTTCTCTCTCTTTCCCTCTTATACATCATCTTATAATATGTACTGCACTGCTGTTTTGATACTTTGATTGCCTTTTTTGCCTTTTTTACTTTAGATTTTCTTGAGGACAGTACACTGTATCAGCTATTATTTCTAGTTTGCCTAGTGATAAAATAAACTTTACCAATCAATAACCTGAGTAGTTAATAATTGATGAATAGAAGATCATATAATTCAAGATTCTCTTTCAAATATATACAAATATAGAGATGCGGATAAGAAACAGAAAATCCTCATGCAATTTCTGCAATTTTAGCATTTTCACGGCCGATAAATACAGATGTAGTCTCTGTGGTTCAATTCTCCATTTGGATATATATAAAAGTCATCGTGAGGGCTGATAATGAATGTAAAAGATGAGAGTATAGAGAGGGGCATCGAAATTCATGGTAGAACAAGAAAAAAAAAAAAAAAAATAAAAAATAAAATAAAAAAAATAAAAATAAAAAAATAAGATAACAAACGAAAAGTGGCAATTCTGGTGGTTACAGTTTGGCCTGAGCTACGTCCTAGCAGCCCCACGAACTGAGAGGTCAAATGGTTCAAATGATTTGCAGTTTTGTCTCTTTGTGGATGCATTCATGATGCGTTGATTTGGAAATTGTGTATTATTGTGCATCGCTGCATAGTCCACGACAGACAGAAAGGCATGGAACTCGATCCCAATAGTTGTTCCGTGTCACGGCCGTAAGTATGCTTGCTGATTATTTGTTAGCTATGGTTCTACACCCGACAGCGTTCGGGCCTTATCTTAATCTATGAAGTTTAAAACAGCTCGTTAGGGTTAGGGCAAGTGACGATGCATAGCTAAGCTCGGGAAACTTCGCTTGCAGCTAATCTCTAGGATTGGGCCATCCAATTGCGGAAATGGAGAGCGCTGGTGTTCAGCTCGTGGTTGCTGGAGTCACGTTGTGTTGCGGGGGCCGTGAATATAAATAATGAACGGGTTGCAGCTCCTGCTCCATGGGAAAAATTAAATATTAGAGCACAGTATAATTCCGATTAGAAGACAAAACGATCTCCTCTCTACTGTGACCTAACACCTACTCGCGGTTTCTTCATTTTACCTCTGAATTTTGACTCCTTGCCCTCCGAATTCGCATATCATCTCATATCAACTGAAACAATGGCTGGCACAGTCCAAGGTGATTACGACGCAGCCTTCGCGCCCGTCAAGGATCTGTTGCAGAAATTCATAGACGCAGGCGAAGAGCTGGGTGCATCCATCACAGTCAACATCGACGGGCGCAACGTCGTAGATATATGGGGCGGCCATCGCGACACAGCCCGCACATCTCCCTGGACCCGCGACACCGTCACAACTGTCTGGTCGACAACGAAGGCCGTCACGAACCTTGCGGCCCTGATGCTTGTTGACCGCGGCCAGCTCGACCTTTTTGAAAAAGTAGCCACCTACTGGCCCGAGTTTGCCGCGAATGGGAAACAGGACATCGAAGTCCGGCAACTCCTCGCCCACACCTCCGGTGTGTCTAGCTGGGAACACAACATCAACCTGGCGGAATTGTACGATCTGAAAATTTCCACCGAGAGATTGGCAGCGCAGAAGCCGTGGTGGGAGCCGGGAACTGCGTCTGGCTATCACATGCAGAACCAGGGTCATTTGGTTGGCGAATTGGTGCGCCGGGTCAGCGGGAAATCGCTCAAGCAGTTCATCGCTGAAGAAATCGCGGGGCCGCTGGGAGCCGATTTCCAATTAGGTGCAGCGGAATGCGACTGGGAACGAGTCGCTGAAATCGTGCCCCCGCCCCCTCTCGATTTTGACTTCTCCAAGTTGCCTGCCGACAGCCCTGCCTTCAAGACATTCACTGGCCAACCTGCCAAACCCGAAACAGCAAACACGCCGATGTGGAGAAAAGCGGCAATCGGTGCCCTCAACGGCCACTCGAACTCACGGGGAGTCAATGGAGTTCTCTCCGCTATAACTCTTGGTGGGGAAGTTAATGGTGTTCAGCTTTTGTCGCAAAAAACGATAGATGTAATCTTTCAGGAACAGGCCAGTGGCCCCGACCTTGTGCTTGGCATTCCGTTACGCTGGGGAATAGGATACGCTCTACCGCTGAAGCCGATGCCCTTCTTTTTACCCGAGAATACCGAACGTATCTGCTTTTGGGGGGGCTGGGGTGGATCTATCGCGATCATGGACCTTGAGCGTCGTATGACCATTACATATGTTATGAATAAAATGGCTGCCGGTGTCATAGGCTCGAACCGTAACGATGCCTATGTTAAGGCAATATACGCTGCCGTCGCACCTATGTGAATGATATGTTCGGGGATTTTAAGCAGGTCGGATATGGGTCTGATTGGACACTAATAGTGAGGTATGCGAGTGTGAGCTAGTGAGAAAATGTTAGAAGGTATAGGTGCATGAATAACATAATATCCGTTTTAAGACCAAATTGTCTCTTGTCAATCACAAATCCCATGAATGTCAACAGAACAAATAGCCCATCATGTCCGGTGCTAAACATCACCTCAACCCGGTTCATATCGCGCATTCACATTGGAGTAGTCCATCCCTGATTCCTTCCTGGCTGAGTATGGACCGTTCTCCACGTAGGCTCCTGACAGTGTCATTCTTTACCCTGTATATGATGGGACTCGATCGATCTGTCATCTGGCCGTACATCTGATGTAGATGCTGCATTGCCGGCAACGGCCACTTTTCAAGTTTTCGCTACTCCTGGTTCTGGTACCGGTACTAGCACTATAATCTTCTAGAGTTTTCCCGCGCACAGTCTCACAAATGGCCATCAGGCCCTTCTTCAGCCGCTCGATCTCGTTGAAATTATTCTTGGGACGTTGCAAGAACCTTGAAGTCTCCGGTGACTAGACCTTTGAATCTGTATCCGCGGTTGGGCCCGATGTAGCTGCTTCATCCAGCAACCGCTCCTAAAGAGTAGTGCGGCTTTCCGTGTTCTCCACGACTGCCTGTGGCCTTTCCTATCGGCGGCTCGCTTGTGCTCTCACTGTAAAGGGGCCAGCATGCGTCGTGTACCCGAGCACATCTCTAGTCCGCGAAAGGAATATTTCTTTGTATTTCAGTTTGAGAGCGGAGACGTACGTTTCGTACGTAGTCTTCCGGATAGTAGATACGCAGGTACATTTCCCGGTCGACAGGATGGAAAGAGGCCGAGCAGAATCCCACAACCGAAAGGAGGCCCTGTGGAAATTTGTCTGCCGCGATTGTAGCAGCTTTGACAGAGGTACGAAGTGTTCGCTAGATTATTCTTTGGATATAGGCCAAAAAAGACAAAAGAACATCTCTTTCTTTTCGTCCTTCATCTTGAAAAACACTGCACGCACGGGATGAGTTAACTAAATGTTCCGTCTGTTGAGCAGCCTCATTAAAGCTGAGGAGGTTGTATAGATTCTACCTCGCTCAGCAATTTCTTCTGGAAGGAAACGGGGAATTTAATGATTAAGTGATGATGAGAGGCAAAGACAAGAAATTCCTTCGTTCTTGAAATGTAAAAATCTCAAAAGGCTGTTTCTCTGTCTTTTGTATATGTAAGTGTTGACTCATTCAAAATTCCAGTTAGTGCGGGCGTGCATGCATACAACAGATATATAAGGAGTGTGTACTAAGACCCAGGGCTGAAAAGCGCCTTATGCTCCTTTTTCACTGCGATGAGTTTTTTCTTCTGTTTTGTATTTTTCTTTCTTCCTTTCTATCTCCTTGATCATACACTCCTGGACTAATGCAGAAACGCGGAGCAATGAAAAGATATTGCAGTGATACACAAAAGTGGAGCAATAAATCGAGGATAAATATTGCAAGTGAACACGCCGCACACTCGCACACCCACACACACAAACGAAAAAAGAGTAGAATTCAACGAATTCTCAACTGGAAAGGCCGTGGAAACTGCCCGATTGTATCTGGCAGTTCATGCCCAGGGTAGCCTGGAGTCCAAAATTCTAAGTGATTCGCGGATTAAGAATCTCTGGACAAATTGCAACGACTGTTCATTACAAAAGCACTTTCGTTAGAATACTTTTTTGTTTCAAAAGTTCTAATGTGGCGTGAAAGAAAGAGAGGGACTAATCTGGAAAGGGGAGCTGGGGAAAGGGAAAAAAAAGGGGGGAACAAGGTTTTAACCATACCAATTCGGACAGGTAAGCGGTAGTCTAGTGTTGATACAGGAATAAATCCACGTGTTCATGCAATCCAGATGGAAGTTCCTCCCACAGCCGCGTGAGCAGTAGGTGAGCTCAGAAGATTCGTGTAATGATTGAGAATGAGACGAAGCAGAATGGGACGAGGAAGGCAATGATGCTTCTACCCTCTCGTTGACGAGGGGTTCTTGGCAGATTTGGCAGTCGTCCTTGATTGGCATACGTGGTTTCTCGTGACGAATTCTATTTGTTGCAAACCCGTCTCTTGCTGCTCTGCCTACCAAGTTGAGAACGGCAGTTGCACGGTAAGCGGCATGGGTAACCGGTTGGATTCGTGTTTCCTGTGGCCGTGGTTGCGGCGTTGCGACAAGAGGTACGGTAGCAGCAATAGGCGGAGGCTCAGACTCAGGTTCGAGCTCGCGATCCTCAATTTCACCTCCATCCCCGTCTACATGCGCATACCCAACGGTTTCCTGCTCAGCAACGCCACTAACGGCTCCTAGATTAAGATCGCCTGGACGGATTCTCCCGGCTTCATACGCTTCGGCAGAAATGCACCCGTCAGCCCTTAAACGCTCGCCAATATCATTAAACGCCTCCACCAGTGACCCCAGAGTGGCCTCCATCCGTAGCTGGCGAATATCAAATTCCAAGACTTGATATTGCATTGTCTTCAGCATCCAACTCGTCGCAAGGCGGCTGATCTGATTCTGGTGATAAGTATGGCAGAGTACATTGCTTGCGATTTGCTCAAAGTCCTGCATCAGTTCTCTGAGGTTGGTGTCTCGGTGCTGGAAGGTTTGGTTGGCATTCGTGAGAAGGACTTTTGCGATGTGCCGCTGTTCTCGACTGATTCTGTTTCTGCATCGGAAGCCGGAAGAAGAGGTCCTGCCAAAGCAGGTAAAACTGTCATATTGAGGGAAGACACCTAATAGCTCGCAAAGTTCGTTTTCCTGGACAAATGGTTCTGAGCCTACAGAGCGAGGATTGTCAAGTCTGTTCACGAGAAAGTGACGGAGTCTTGGGGAGAGCGAATGCAGATCCATTCTGTACTCGAGATTAGCACGATGGATGGCGGGGATAAGTTGTAGAATGCAAGCTTAGTGACGTTTGCCAAAACGACTCACATGCATCGCAAGGATATAGTAAAATACCTTATATAGTAGTGTAGGGAGGCGCAAAGTAAGCTGTCCTAGGTGATTATTTGGCGAAACTGTACGTGACTTAGGGGTGGCAGTTTCGGGGCCTTCGCAGTAGCGCTCCGAAAAGATGTGAACCTCTCAAGCTTGACAGAACAACCTAGCACGATTTTATATAGACGCAGACGCAAATGGCCTTGACTAGCCGTAGACTACTAGTAGGTATCTGTCCTGGAAAATTATAGAGATGCGAACGGGGACCGTATCAGAAGCAGAAGTGGGAAGCTTAAGCTTTTCTTCTAAAAGCCAATGAAGCTGATAATGGAGCTGAACTTGTATTAGACAGCTTGAAAATTGCGTTAAAGATCAGTTTGATGACCTTTTTGAAAAGATATGCCCGTAGATGGGTATAAGTTGATCAGAGCTTCTGGAGGGAATGAAGTGTTGGTGGAGGTGACTGAGAAAGGCGCAGAAGGTAGACGGGGGCCTAGTCGGTGAACACATGGCTAGTGTTATGCTTTGCGAAAGCGACAGAAAGATGGCTTTTCAAGATTTGTGGTATATCTGTCGGCATGGAAGTATGTAGGTGAAAGTTGTTGCTACGGGCCCATGGTTCGAGAAAATGCAAATATGACGTCAACCATCAAGACGACGCTCTACACGGGATACTTGCACCAGAACACCAACAGCATCTATCGGTTTGACGGCGGGCAGATGTTGCTGTCCGATATCAGGTAGACCCGCTAGTTGAGATATGGAATGACATGTAATCCCCGGGACAAATATGCGGTATTAGTTACCTAGTTGCTTGCTCTAAGCTAGGTTGGAGACTTCTAGTATAGGTCTCCTTCCTCCTTGCGAGCAATGTAGTTACAGGTACCTACCACTCATTTCTCCTGCACATTTCCTGGTGAAATCCCGTACCTGTACTCCTCGCTACCTAAGGGGAATCTCCAGGTAGCTTCCCCTCTCGCCTTCGCCTCCCCGGCAAATATAAGCCGCTATCCCCGCAACTGGCACACAACATTCCATCCATGCCCTTGTTGCCAGGAATCCTACCATTGTGCTTCGAAGATATCATTGACCTACGCCGTTTTCTCCCATCGGATGTGAAGAGGTAAAGTCAATCTCTCCGTTTCCCTGTCCATCGAGCTATCAGAGCTCCAGACGCTCCATCGCCAAATCCAACACGCCTATTGTGGAATAGTTATATCTATCACATTAAGCAGTGTTAACGGAACGGCCTCCCTAGAAAATTGACCAACAAGAGACACTGCCAGCGAGATGAGCAGCCGCCCCAGCGATCGTCCAAGTGACCGTCCTGATCATCCTCCCGTCTGGGTTCGTGGTGGACCTCCTTATTACTACATTCCCACAAGACCAAGCATATCCACATCCCCCAGTGAAACTCTGAGACGGGTACGTTTTGCACAGTTCCTTCTCCAGCCATCAGATATTTGCCATCCGATCAAGGATAGGGAAAAGACAACCGTTCCAAAACGAAAATCACCACGCAACTAACATTCATCAACCCTCCAAAACACCCAGGCCTCCACAACATCCACTCTCTCCAGCTCTCATGAGAGCACGGGGGAAACCATTTCTCCACCTCCGAGTCCTGAAGCCTCTCCCGTGCAGCCCTCCGGACTCAGACCTCCCTTCCCCTTTCCGTCCTTTGGCAGCAGCCCACTCACACATCAAACATCTCCACCCCTGCGACCGCCATATATGGCTCAGCAACCGCCTCACATTTCGGTCTCGGGCTCGGGCTCCAAAACCGAAGACGAAGGTTCACTACGCCCCAATGCATTCCGCAGACGCAACTCTGTCAGCGGGACAAATCTCTTCTCCAACCTCGCGTCGCAGAAGCGGAATACGGCAGACACTAGCTTTGCGTTACGCAGGGCGCAGTGGCATGAGCAGAATGTTGGCGCGGGGCCGGAGAAGAGGCGGTTCTTCTCGAGTTGGTGGGATAAGTAAGTTTTGTCATCTCTTCCTCCTTCTTTCCCATTCTCTATATGTGTTCTTTCCCCTCCATTGTCCATGTTCCTTTGTCTTGAATGGGATGGAGGTCCATAGCATAAGGGGGCCTGCAGTTTTGCTGATATTTGATTCTTGTAGTTATGTGAGAGGTATCGAGCCAAATAAAAAGTGATATGTTTGGATTTGCCTTTGGTGTGCGTCGTAGATTCATGAAATGGCTGTGCAACAGAACGAAAACGAAACAGGAAATTAATAACAGCATCACTGGGGAAGGAAGTGGAGGATAATGATGCAGGTGAGGGTCAAGAGATAAATAAACAAAAAGAACAAAATTGTTCCCTTGTGGGGGAAAGTTCGAGTGGGTGAATCATGGGCAACTTTTCTTCCTGCTTGTTATCTTGGTCTATTTCCGCTATTTTGTTCCTTGATTTATTTTATTTTATTTTATTTATTTTTTGTTCCCCCCTCCAATTTTCCAGAGTAATTCCTTGGAAAATGCAAACAGCGCCAGAAATAGGCAAAACCAGCGTGTTGTGTGTTGTGTTGTCGTTCTGTGGACGCGGTGAAATAAGATTCATCAAAGCAAGCAACCTTCAAAAATATAACATTCAAGATTGTTCGGGGTGAAGAATGAGAGAAGGGAGGGACATGGATAGGAATGAAGTTTGGTAGTAGTGGGAAACCGAGCCGTCAAACAGAGCAGCTGAATGAAGCCAGATTGATCCAAGAACTCTCAGATATATTTTGATGTGGCCGGGAAATGTGCGATTTTTTTCTCCCGTGTTTTCTCCTTGGGATATGGTCGGGACTGGCAATGTCTGTATATTATCCTCAATTTAAGGGATCAAATTTTTTTATCTCCGTTCGTATGTAGATGAGCTGTGGTCAAATGGGTTTCCTTTCCTTTCTTTTCCTTTCCTTTTCTCTTATGAAAGGAAAACTGAGCATCAAGTTAATGTCTCCTTTTACCTCAATTAATCCTCCCACTATGAAGATTTCTTACATAGTAGTATCATTACCACTCTGCACCAACTTACCTGCACAGCCCTGTTCAATTTTACTTCAGAGCATCCCTTTTTTCGCCAGCTGCATTGTCTCCGAAGCCTATTGCAGAAATAACCTACCTGGGCACTTTATTGGGGAGGGGGTATATGTATACGCAAACCGTCTCCTCTTTAAGTCAGAAACGAGCAATTCTACCTTCCAATGTATGAAGGCCGTGGGCTGCGTCGCTTCAGTCCGATGGGAACACATAAGCACACCCACCCACTTACTCACTCACATAGCGGCCCTGATAGCTACCTTACGAAGTACCAAGTGACCGGGTGTCTGCGTGTCCCAACTTTCCCTCAGCGCACACATTGCTTCGTCTCGTTCCCGGCTCTCTGTCCTCTGGAGTAGAGTACATCGATCCAGCAAAAAGTTGTCTTTGTAGCCAAGATAAATATCCCCAACCACGTAAGGCGTGAGAAGCGGAGAAGCGAGAAGCGAGTCCGCGGTGTTGGAAGTGGTGGTGAGGAGGAAAGAGAAACATGGAATACGGACTCTTATCCTCTCGCCCCATATATACCTAGGTATATATTTTATGGCAGCAGCCAAGGGGGGAAACATCAGGATAGAAACCCAAAGGACCAATGTTTCAAATTTCAGGCCGCCTGAGGGTCGACTCGACGCGCCTCAGAAAATAAAAGGAGAGGAAAAGAATCGCCCCTTTGTTTTTTTCTTCTTCTTCTTTTTGTTTCAAAGCAATGGTTAAGCGGAACGACACCCTTTGTGAAGCCTCCATTGTGAAATCTTTGGAAAACAGGGAAAGAAAAAAAGGAGCGACCATTTTCTTCTCCCTGCCTCTATTGGGTCAGGGATAAAATATCTCTGTCATTGAATTGTATAGTAGAAAAGAGGGAAGGGGGAGAGAACCGAAAGGCGGAGAGAGAACATGAAAATCTGCAACCCGCGTCCACTTTCGCCAATGGGTCACCCACCAGATAGAATGGCCCGTGTTAAGCACCGGTGTCCGGACGTTGTTGGGTCGCAGATTTCCCAATCGCTTCCTCTTTCGGCGTCATCTTTTCTTTTTCAGTTACATCATTAAAAACAAAACAAAATAGGGAGAAGAAAAAAAAAATAAAATAAGACATGAATATGCCCGAGCCTGACGGTAGATTGATAAAAAGAAAAAGAGAAAGATGAAATATTTACCCCCCAGCTCCCTTTTGACTGTTTTCCACATGTAAACAGTGACGCAAACCGGGAGGAGGAATGATAACACCCACCAGCCATCTTTGGAACAATTCCCTGGAAGGGAGTCTTGAACCATTTGATCGTTTCGGCCTGGTTGATTCTGTGGCTGGCGCCGATCTTGGACTTGCATCGTCTGCGCTTAGCGACGCGTTCACCAGGTCGGGACCTATTAAAATAGTCGTAGTACACTGTGGTTAATATAATACCCTTCCTCAATTTTCAAAATTTCTCCTATCATATCCGATCAAAGGGCTGATGACGCTATGGCAAATCAAATTCCACCTCGCCTCAATTTGGTAGAGTTCGGGGAAAAGAAAATGAAAATAGAAAACGAGGGAAAACGCACATGCAGCAGTAAAAGTCCATTCCGTAGATGCCAATACCGGGGTCATACTTGATGCCCAGATCGATATGTTCGCTGATACCGAAGCCGAAGTTGCCAGTTTCGGAGAAGTTCTGCTTTTTCAATTCGTATTCCTTGACCTTGAGGCCGCGCTCCAGGATCTCCTCGGCCTTGGGTCCACGGACAGTGACGTGTACGGAAATCTTCTCGTTACGACGAATACCGAAGGTACGGACAGTGTATCTGGCCTTGCCTATATAGTTCATCCCATCAGATTGCTGTCCCTACACCTCTCTCTGCCGCATCGCATGGCTATCACTAGGATCTCGATGGTTTTTGTTTCATTTTCTTTTCTTTTCGCTTACTGTAGACAGGAGTTTGACCACTCAGCTGTTCCAACACCTTCGCAGCACGAGTGAGTCTGTCACCGGATTCGCCAACGGAGATGTTGAGGACGAGTTTTTGAATGCGGAGCTCCCGCATGGGGTTGCTGGATTTTCCCTCGGCCTGTATTCGCATCCAATTAGCTAAGAAATATCGGAAAGCTGTCGGTGAAATCTGCCATAGAATTGCATATGATGGGGTATTTCAGTGATGCTCACCATGGCGATTCGTGTACGGTTGGGCGGTCGGCTGTTAGTAGATGAAAGGCTACGAGGAATATCCTGAGGGTGTAATGAGAATGTCTCGATGTGACTTGTGTGGGATGAGAGCGCAAAACCCTTAGTGGCTTGGCGTCTTGGCATTGACTAGCGAGTCCGACTGGCAGCCAAGGCGGGCGTGGGATTTAATTGCACGAGACGAGACAATGCGCCAACGTCAAGCTCCATCGCCGACTTGTTATTCTGAGTCCATCGGGTTCCTATTGCAGAGGTTTACAGAGCTAGCTGTGGATTGGAGGGTTCTATATCTTGATTTTACTTTATTCTGTCCCGTCCTGAGCTGGCCTGGAGAAGTCGCACTCGTGCGCGCGACCTGCGACAAAATGGCTGTAAATAAACAGGGCAAAATGGTATGCCAATCCTTAAGAAGATCGCAAATGGACCAAGCTTCGTTGATTGATAGAGAAACACCTGCTAACATTGTCCTAGCAAAACCTCGTACGTCTATCCAGCCGCGTCTGTGTCTGTTTCCTGGAGCTGAGATTCCGCTAACAGTGCCTGCCAACCAGATCAACTACCGGATGAGGGTGACCTTGACCGATGGACGACAAATGACAGGTCAAATGCTCGCCTTTGATAAGGTAAATGTCTTTCTTTCTTCATCCACGTAAGAGGCGAATGGCAAATTGCCGGCCGCTAACGTCCAATATACGTCGCGCAGCATATGAATCTCGTTCTAGCGGATACGGAGGAATTCCGGCGTGTCAAGAGAAAATCAACCAAATCAACTCAAGCCCCCGGATCCAGCACACCAACCCTCGTCGAAGCCGAAGAGAAACGAACGCTTGGCCTCACAATCTTGCGCGGGACACAAGTCGTCTCGTGTTCCGTTGATGGACCGCCGCCTGCAGACCCCGCAGCGCGGTTAGGTTCAACTGTGCCTGGCGCATCAGGAGCTTCTGCAGCCACCTTGGCCGCAGGGCCTGGTATCAGCAGGCCTGCTGGAAGGGGTTTGCCTGTTAGCCTTGGGGGCCCAGCAGCTGGTGTTGGTGGACCGCCCCCTCCCGGAGGATTTGGAGCGTTCCCCCCTCCAGGATTCCCTGGGGCCCTGCCCCCGGGATTCCCGGGACGAGGAGGACCACCTGGAGGACCTGGTGGGTCATTTTCACTTTTGGTTCCATTATGATTTTAGCTCTTAGGATTTCAAAAGCTAATTTGTGCCAATTTCCCGCAGCTGGCTTTGCACCACCACCTCCTGGATTCGCACCCGGTGCAACCGGTGGACCCGGTGGACCTCGTAAGTGCTTTCTTTGCCTGTATTTTGTTCCTCTTGTTTCTATCCCTATTTCTTGGCTATGTTGTTATTCACTTACTGACTGAATACCTGTGAGCAGCCGGGTTCCCACAGCCACCTGGTTTCCAACCCCCTCCTGGCCAGGGCAGAGGCTTCCCGCCCCCTGGATTTGGTGGACGATGAGATTAAATGGGCCAATTGAGTTATACGTTACATGCTGATGGAGCCACACACACACATACCAATGACTCCGGATGAGAAGGTGTGGAGGCAAGAGCTCATTTTTTTTTGTTACTGGATATCCAATTATCCACAATTTATACCGATAAATTATCACCAGTGCGTAAAAGGCTACATGTGACAAAACACCTTTTGTTGTTGCTCAAAACAGAAAATAATATAAAAATCTAACTTGTTGTACCATGGCGTTGGGGCGCTGGGGGAGGAAAGTTGACAGGATGAATCTGTCTGGGCTTTTCCCAAAGCAAGAGCAGTTTTCCAGCAGGTTTCTTACATTTTTGTCACCCATACACCCGAAAAGATTCATTATACTAGCCAGCAAATCAGGAAAACAAATTAAAAAAGGAATATGATTTTGCACACGGTTTTTACTATCGTTCTCTCCTCTTCACTACCTCTCCTTTCCACTATGTTCTTGATGTCAAAAAATCCTCGCTGAACAATAGTCACGTGACTATATTATCCAAACACGGCTAGCGTATTCTGCTCTCCGGATTTCGGAGCCAAAACAGGAAAGATTGAGGCTCGATTGATTGGATCCAGACGGAGTCATTCATGATATTAGGATATAAAAACCAGCTCAGAGGCTTGTATACATAACGGATAGCTTGTTATTGAAATACCTTTGGTTTTGAACTCTCTCCGGACCCTCCTCTTTCTAATCCTCTTCCGCCCTGAATCCACATCCTAGCTGTCCGACAAAGATGGCTGCCGCAATCAAAGCTGTCAATGCGAAGATACGCTCGAACAAGGTGCTGGATTATATATGCTCAACACGTAAGTTGAAAATATCAATCAGGTTCCCGGGAGCAAGCATGCAGTTAATACAGATGTCATCACTTGAATCTCTGTCGTATCTACATAGATATCTCTATGTCCCTTTGTACCCGGAGATAATGGACATTCAAAGGCAACAGCCCGTCTGAGCTATCTTCACTGGAATATTCTGCTAACCAACATCAATTGGATGCGGAAACCACAAACAGATTTCTGGGGCCCGGTCTCAAACTTCGGTATTCCTGTCGCTGCTGTGATGGACACACAGAAAGATCCTGAAATGTACCTATCACATCCCCATCCTTTTCCTTCTCACTCGAAAACACAGAAAAAGGGAGCCGGGCCCGTCCTTTGCCCGCTCCCTTACCCGTCCCCTTCCACATCGTCTCTCCACCGAACGGATCATTTGCACCTCACCCAGCCATCCCGATCCTGATTCTCCGATTTGAACAACGTTCAGCAACTAATCATGGTAATGAATCCAATTACAGTATCTCCGGCCCAAATGACAGGCGCCCTAGTGATATACTCTGGCACATTCATGCGTTACGCCCTCGCAGTAACCCCTAAGAACTATCTGCTATTCGCATGCCATTTCGTGAACTTCGGCGCGCAGCTGACGCAGGGATATCGGTATCTGAATTGGTGGAAGTATGTACTAATCCTGTCTCCCATTTCTACTACTTGTACCCCTTACTACGCCTTTTTCCAGTCTGGGAGTACCGAGGAGGAGAAGGTGTCTATTCTTTGTTTTTGTTTTTGTTTTGTTTTGTTTTGTTTTGTTTTGTTTTGTTTTTTTTCATTTTTACACACGCTGGCTTCCTATTCATATCAAATCGGTATTTCAACCTTATGGATCCAATATGCTGACTCGTCTTTTACTTCTCCTTAATTTAATTCTAGCTGGGGCGGACGCGATGCAGCGATTGCCGCGGGGAGGATAGTCGACACACCAAAATCGGGCACAGAATCTGCAGCTGACTCTGCCTCTGGTGCTGCTGTTGCTTCGGGGAAGAAATCGTAACGAGATTTCCTTGCTCTCAACATCTAAAATACATTCATTATATTTATCTCCTGAACTGGTTTCTTTTCCTTAAAATACTTTTTTTCTTCCTAATTTGGACTTTGGGGATTTTTGATGTGAATCATGTATTATTCTCTGCATCTATCCATTCCCGTGCACACATTGGGCCCACCGTGTGTGTGTGTGTGTGTGTGTGTGTGTGATTTTGTCTATATGCTCTGTATGTAAGTGTCATATTGGGGACAGATCTTTATTTATTGTTGCCTGTTTTTCTAGATACCAACTACCTTTGTTTTGTTGGGTCTCATTTAACGTTTCTGTGCTCTCTGATCTAAAATCTGAGTATGAACGTTATGTAGAGAATGTTATTTAGAAACATTTTTTTTTTTTTCTTTCTCTGGCTTTCAACTACACTTCTCCACATATAAATTATTTTACTGGGAATTTTGGTAAATGACCTGAATAAGGCAGAGAAGTATATAGATGTATAAAATTCTTTCATCCTGCGTCACAATATCATTTGTATGTCAAAAAGAGGATTCTATATACGTGACCCAAAAAAAAAAAAAAAAAAAAAAAAAAAAAAAAAAAAAAAAAAAAAAATCGCTTCGCTTAATAATTCTAACAAACAAACACTCAGAGAGAGAGAAAAAAAAAAAAAAAAAGAAAGAAAGAAAGAAACAAAATTCAGAGCTTGGGTACAAGATTCTTAACACAATACTCCTTGACAAAGCCGTAAAATCAGTGTGCGTGATTTGCATACATATGCAGATAAATAAAACGAAATAGAGATACGATATCTATGAAACCGCGCCTGCTTTCTTCGGGAAATTCTCGAGACTCTTCGCCCCGCTGGAGAACAAGGGGAAACATGCATGTACAGCACCGCCATAATGGAGGGGCCGGTGTATGAATGACAGGAAGCATTTGATGAGGATGCTGAATTAGATATCTCATTCAGCAAATGGCAAGGGTTTGGGTATGTCGAAAAGCTCATGTTCGTTTGCGTGTGCATATTCTGATGGATAAATAAGGAAATAAATAAAAAAAACGATGAAAAAAAAGTGCTATGACAAGGACCATGACGTGTGGGTATTGGTAACTCGGGATGGCTGTCTAGAAAAAAATTTGTTCGTCGTTAAGGCTCCCATTTGATCCCCCTCCTCTTCTCCTCTATGTCTCTATGTTTATTTATACGGAACAATGACGTGGGCTTCCAGAAGATTCGCCCGCGGCCCAATTTGAAACGGTGAGGACGGTGGTGTAGACACATCCGATCATGCCAAATAGTGCGAGGCCGATGTCTGCATATCTCTGGCGCGCGGTTGTCGAAACAGCTTTGAGATGTAGCATTGGCTGTATTTTTGATATGTTCGTTAGCGATTCTTAAAAGAACGCTTGTTGGGAATTGGAAAAGAGGAAAAGAAACTTGAGGAGCGCTCAGGAGTGGAAGTCAGAGCGAGGAGAGGAGGGCTTACAGGATACACGTAAACTAATGGTACGCAGGCGAAGCTCCCGACGAGCGCAACAAATTTATCCAAATCTGCTGCACCACCCCATGCAACGAGAGCGCAAAACACGACTAGGAGGGATCGAAACCCGTTCTTCTTCCATTTGATGCCTGGGTTGTATTTCCCGCTGCGGGTGAACAGCTCGTTTTCCAAGATTCGGATCGCGGGGAAAAGTTGGAGCGGTGTGCTGAGAAGAATCGCCAAAGAATACAGGAATTGAATCCCGTTAACCACCTTACTATCCTGCGGCAGGTTAAGTAAGACGACGGTTTCAGTCTTGGAGCCGAAAGCGGCGTAGCCAAGCACTCCCATCGAGAGAAATACGGCGGTTATCATAAACATCACGAACGCCAGGACGCCAGGGAACTTTTGAGGCTTTTTCATGGATTCCTGGATAAGTATGATGAGGCCGACGCCTTCATATGTGAAGATGCCCGGTACGGATAAATAGAGTCCAGCTCACGGGATTGAATGGTTTGATGTCTGCAAACGG